TAATCTAAACGTTCCCATCATGTTTAGCCGCCTTCAGATTATAAAAAAACCGTTTCTTCTCATGATTGTTTCCTTGTTATGTGAACTCCCATTTTTTCGTAAAACTTATCCTTATCCTTACATGTGACTTCCGGTCATTGAAGCTCCTCCTTACAAATATCGAGGCTAAAAAAGGACCGGGCAAAGGTGATTGAGTCAGTCTGGTGATCAATCAATTCAATTCAATTCTTGAAAGTTCAAGAGGAGTCTGGTTACCGATCAACCAACAAATCAACCAATAAACCAACAAACCAACCAATCAACCAACCAATCAACCAACCAACCAATCAACCAACCAACCAATCAACCAACCAACCAATCAACCAACCAACCAATCAACCAATCAGTCAACCAATCAGTCAACCAACAAACCACTCAACTCAAACCAAACCAGTCAATTCAATTCTTCAGTCCACAGGTCGGTCGGGTTATCAATCAACTCAAACCGAACCAGTCAATTGAAATCTGCAAAGTTCACAACATGTGCTACAACTCATAGATTAAGTACTTTGAATAGAAAGTAATATTTGACTGTTTAAGAACAGAAGTTATTCATAAACAATGTATTACCTGCAATCAACTAACGTATTCAAACATGAGCAGCCAACTGGGCATGGATGGTCGATGATGCAGCGACCGGCGTTAGCTGTTACATATGCTTCTGACCCTTTAAAATTTATTGAAATTGCAGAAAGAAACCATCAACACTGTGATTATTTTTTGGATTTCCAGAAAATATATTTGATACTCGTTACCTTTACATCGAAACTTCGAATGATGTAATGTGGATATACGTCGATGAGCTACTCGTTTTGGTGAAACACAACGTGCGCTACTGGTTTCAACAGCTTTCTTAGCTAGTAAATGAGCAAGCCATTCCTGAGAAATTATCATTACCGTCTTTTTCATCTTCGAAATTCTCGAAATAATTCAAATTCATAATGAGCAAAATTCCGAAAAGCTATGTATAAAGCTGGCAATTAAAGACATATAATAACTGTAATAACGGTGGAATTAAATTATTATTTTTGAAATGAATGAAGACAGATGAATTTGTACGAATTGATTTCAAAAAAAAGAACTAACAAGATTGCAATCACAAATAATTGGATTGCGGGCCAAATGAAGTGTTGTTAAATTAGTTAATCCATCGAAGGTTCCATTGGCAATTGAATAAATTTGATTATCATATAAAGATAGCAAATTTAGATTTTTCAGGCTTGAAAAAGTATTTCTTCGAAGACATTGCAGTTTATTAGCATTCAGAAGCAATAACTGAAGGTTAACAAGTCCATGGAACGCTTCCGACGGTAAATTAGTTATATTATTTCCATACAACACGCTATAAAAATCAAATATATTAAATTATCTGAAAATAATGGCCTTATTTCTCAAGACGATCTAACTCAATTCAAATAAAAATCTTTTTTTCCATCATTTTTCTATCATTTCTGCGACAAATGAATAAAACTGATTGCTATGATCCCAAAAATTCTTTTAAAACTACTAAAGAGAAAATCCGCTTGATTCAAGCCTTGAGAGCTTGGAAGAATATTTCCAGTAAAGATATCATTTTGGAATGCTAAAATGTGTAAACTTCCAAGCAATGCTATTTATTTCTTCATGAAATTTCTATTTTCAGCATCTCTAAAGCTGTGCAATGTCAAATACAATTTTGACAGACGAATGTGTTTTGAATCGATTAGATTCAGAAATCTAATTTATATATCTTTTTTCGGAAACATATTTTGTTCAGTAATTAATTCCAAAAGGACTTACAGCGAGTTTAATGATTTCAAACCTTCAAATGCTCGTGGACCAATGTCTCTAATATTGTTTTTGCTGAGATCACTAAATATAACAACCTTAATGATACCAATTTAATGATATTATAATTTATCTAGTAATTTAATTCTATCAACAATTTCCGCCACCAAAATGAATCTTTCAAAAAAGGTTTACTATTACTTTATAGTTGTATGAAAATTTTTGCATTATATTTATATTACTTCCAACTTACAGTCGTTTGAGTTGATGGAGATTATGGAATGCTCGAGGAGGCACATAGTTTATTTGATTTTGTTCAAGCCTTCTGAAAATTTGAAAAATAGAACGGATCACATTGAAAAACGATGACAAATTCAATATTTCCATAGCTTGAAAAAAGAATTTTAATGTTTTATTATTCAATCCAGAAACTACTCACAAAAAATTCGAGCAAATTGAAATTATGTAAACTCACAGCTCAGTAGTTGTCGGGGGTAGATTAGCTGGGATATGTGTTAAACCACGATCCCGACAATCGATCGTCGTTTTGGTACAGGTGCAAACTGGCGGACACACTGAAGCATCACGGCATGAACTCGCTGCACGTTTTTCAATCCCAGAACATTTCATTAACTGGAATTAAATAAATTGATGTATTATTCATAACTTCTGTTTTTGAAAGAAGAATTTTGAACATCATTTTAAATTTCATTATATAAATTCTGTTCAGACAACATTATTGCTTTAAGTTTACCTAATGTTTTCATCAAAGATAAAATGGATACTGCTAGAACATTACATTTTTACTTTTAGCTAATTTTGCAGAGTTGAGAAATAATCCTTTATCGATCATTATTTTTTTTTTGAATGAAATTAAATATTGTAAAGATATGGTTGCTATCGACTATTTTTATTTTATCTTTATGTTGAAACAACATTTTTAGTTGGATTAGCGATAATCCAATTGAAAATGTTGTTTCAACTTAAATTTATGGACAGCAATGATCAGTTTATAAGATCAAAGCCAAGCTGCGCCATAACCAAACACCCTATCTCTAATTGCCTCTGGTGATTTATATTTCTTGCCTACATTTTTTTTACATAAATTTCCAAAGTGGTTTTCGGTTTTTATTATTCACACTATTCCGTTTTTCCCACTCCTTGAACTTTTTTACTTTTCCAAAACTTTTAAAAAACTTTAAAATATTATTAAAAATACCGTTTCATCGATATTTTCCAGCACACGAGAATGTAAATGTGCTGGCCGATGGCATTGTGTATTTCGAGCCAATAAATGTGAATTGGAAATGATTTTTTTCATCCATCGTAAACGACAATCACAAAGCCATGGATTTTCTGCCAGCCTCCTAAATAGTACAAATTTCACATTTCCAGTTACTAATGTTCTAAGATGAAATAATATTTTTCAAGCTGGCGGATTAATTTTAATTCTCAGATTTTGGGCGGTTTTTTCCTTTTTTTTTTTCAAATAAGCGACATTTGTCATCAATTCAGTTTCAAATAAAGAATGAAATGATCTCACACCGCTCTTTGATGTGCAATCAGAAAAGTTCAAAAATAATAGCCGAATTTTTACTTTTTCTCAAAGATATATATTCTTAATTTTTGCTTACAGGATGCGAATATTGGGCATTGGTCCAAGCTGCCCCATTGTACTCAAATTGTTCCTGTTCAGAGTTAAAATTTCCATTTCTGTCCATGTTGCTATCACGTGGCTATCCAAGCTGTAAACAGTATATTTAGATAATTTCGGAATTTATGTAAAATTATTTTAGAAAAATATCAAATTTCAAATGATGGCAATTTTTAAATGATGACAGAACTTATGAGACCACCACTCCGTCAAATGTAGCAGCCAATAATGCAGTTCTTTTCAGGAAACCTATTTATAACTAAATTTCAGTAACCGTCCAGAGATGCATTAAACTAGGCGACCAGACATTTGATGGACATTTTTTGATGTTCTTTTTCTTGTGATCTGCATAAAAAGATTATCGAAACCACCCAGACAAATACCAAGACCTTCTTCTCCTTTAATCTAATTTCAGTTTTTTGATCCCAAACTTCAAAAATATAAATTGAATGAAAATTGAATGAACAAAATTTTCACAAACTGTCATCATTCAGGCAATTAAGAAGAAAGCTATCTACTAAAAAACTAGCAAAAGTAATCATATTTGTAAAAGAATCTAAGCTTCGAAATCTTTCAGAATGCAAAGCAATTTTATTTGAAACCACTTATTGAAATTAAAAATCACGCGTCATCAAACAAAACATTGAAGTTTGTGCCAGCGAATCTTCAGTAACTTCCTTCGGTATCACAGTGCCATGAGGAATAACCAAGATGAATTATTATCAAGCAAGTATGAATAGATCACTAAATAAGCAGGTAAGGTGCATAATCAAAGATTCAATAACTCAGTACCCAGGAAAAACACCTAAAGAAATTGTTGTCCAATATTTTCAATATAAACTTAAAACTTAGAGACAAAATAATTTTAAGTTACCATGTTAGAAAATTTCGATCAAGTTGTAAATTGCGCACCGATTTCGGCCCTTGTAATTGCGCGTCAGTCAATACAGTTAATAGATTTTCACTCAAATCCCTGAAAATAAAAATATTCCTGTCCGCTTTAAAAGCTTAAATAATTTATCAGTGTCCTTCTTATCTCATCATTTCAACTTTATTGATTTTGCAGTCTAAATCTTTCTTAAATTTTATTTCTAAGATATTTGCTAAAACATATTTAGTGGCTGATTATTTTTAAAATTAATCAATTCTTATGATACTGAAAAATACATTTTATTTTATTGGAGGTGGCACTAAAAATATAACAAATGCGGTCCCGACTTCCTTTTTTTCCTGCTTCTTCTTCCTCTTCTTATATCTTTCTATTGCAAAATATATTATCTATTATTGATAAGCTTTTCCTCTCAAAATTTTCGACACTCGCATAATGACTGTCTTAGACTTTGCAAAACTTTAAAATACAATCAGACACTACTAGAATCTCGAAAATTTGGAGCCTATTCTTCAGATTGGAATTTACTGAAACAATGAATTCCATTTGTTTTGGCCTTCATGTGGATTTCAATATTTACAAAAATAAACATTGGAATTCCAATGTTTATTTTTCATCTGATTTTAGCCATCAATATTATTTCGTTCGCTGATTCCAGCTCTTCATATATTAAAATCATAAAAATAAAATCAGTAAAGAGCAGAGTTAAACATATTGGCTGATTTGGAATCAGTCTGAAACAGAGGACAGAAGCATAATATATTATTCCCTTTTTCGATTGACACTCTTCAAATAATCGTTTCTCTTCGATTCATACTTCCCTAAAGTTTAGCAAATATTGCTTCCCTTGCAAATTTGAAAAGTAAGCCACAAAAAATAGTTTGATATATGTGTAACAAATAACAGTTATAAGGAAATCGGAGAATAAGAGAATAAACATAACTTTTTCAGGACACTACGATTCACAACTAGCTATTTTTTCCAGATATGCCTAATGTTGTCCACAAAATTTAAAGTACTGCTTGACAACTATAAAAAAGTAGTGCATATATACTTAATAACAAAAGAAGTGTTGAAACTAAAAAAAGATAATTTTTCTTGGAGAAAGCTAAAAATAGAGAATGAGCTTTCCTTGCGGCGTTTCGAGAGTGATACTTTTTTGGCTGGAAAGTTCCGAGAAATTTATTTTTTCTGCATAAGGCAGGATATTATATGTGCTGTACATTCTATCCAGAGCTTACTCTGGAAATTATTTTAGTTCACATAACTTTTCATAAGCAGAAAAGATGTTCTTCATGCAAAGTTTGTTCACAGTACTTTACTGTTGCATATTCATAGCAATGTTCCACTTCTTAAGAAATAAAAGAAAATGACTAGTAAAAAGTATAATCAATTTCAAACCCTCAATTTATCAACTTATTATAGCGTTTATTTCGCATATCATGTGATATTTCTATAATGTAATATTGTTTTATTAAGATTTTATCGTAAGCAGGTGGAAATCAGCAACAATTTTGATGTTTTCCAGTATGAATCGTCAAAAAATCTTGAAAAAAAAAAGATTTTTCTGCAGTACATTCATAATCTTTTAAGATTTTTCAAAGAGTCATCCAATAATACCAAAACTATTTTTTAAATTTTCTTCTAAGATTTCTTTTGAAAAAAACTTTAATTTGAAAACTTTGGATATAATCATGTGAAAAATTTAGTTAATAACTCCGACTACTGCTGTTCCGGTATATAACGGGAGTAAAGCTTAATTTTTCCAGAGAATCGTACCTTCGAATATAGTTTCTCAATTTCTTCATCAGATTAAATGAAATTAACTATTTGGGAGAAAGAAATATTCATTTCAAAAGTGACATATTGTTTTTTTTAGTTTCAGAAGTTACTTCCATTTTGCAACAGTTGTTCACAGTATGCTCGTTTATAAATTCATATGCATCTTGTTCCTCTTACGTTGATGAGATAGCCATCATCCAACTTTCCCAACTGGCGTTAGCAATATATCCTTTCGTATGCAATATGACTCTTTGTATTTTAATAATTTGGACAATTGTATAGAATTTAAAATGAAATTAGCGATAAAATTGAGATTATCAATAATCTTATGAAAGGGGGAATTCTTAGTTACAAACAACAGAATAGGAAGAATATCAGCAAAGTAAAATTGAAATTAAAATGTGTGAAAACTCCGCGTTGAGTGAACTATACGACTATCAAAGCATCCGTTGGAATGTTTTTCGTAAAAAGTGCAATCTTTTTCACAATTATATGGGAAAAAAAAACACCTCTTAGTTTTCCGTTTTAATGCACTTGTCAATTGCAGTACTTCATACAGAACTTCCATTCCTTTCATTCAATGCCTAAAATTTTAAACGTGATTTTTTTAAACTCAAGAAATTGATTAACATGCGATAAATTCAACCTTATTTCTGCTTCATATATGCTTTTACTAGGTCAAATTTACGATAAATCTCAAATCTTCGATGTGCAGGTAAAGTGAATGTAGGTAAAAATAAGACTGCATTAGGCTTAAATCTTCTAAATTCAAATAAAAATATAAAATAAGTATGATTATTATTAATCTATGCTTATTATGCTTATTATCTATGCTTCATAATAGCTGGCAAAAAATCAACTTCGTTTTTTTGATATATATTTAAATAATTTCTGAATCAAATTTTAAAACTAAAGATTTTGTACAATATAAGGATGGAAATGAAAAGAAAATGAGGTGAAACATTTCAAAAAGTTTCTAACAATGCTAGTTAAGTGGTGTAAAGAAAGAGTCTACGCAAATTTATGCATCTATTTACTTCGATGTTTGCTGGCCGATCGACAATGACGACAAATGGGCGACATTGAAGGTGAAAGAATTTAAGGACAAAGAAGAGATCAGAGACAATTTCTCTAGTAAAAGAATATTGAAGAATGTAAAAGCAGCATATAATTTCAACTACTAAGTTTTTTTTTCCTCACTATTCTTATGAATTGGAAGAGTAAACAAAGCACTGTCGACTAGAATTTGAAATGATTTAGCTTAAAATAAACAGCTAACTTCAGACGAAATTTTGTCAGTTTTTCCTTTTTTTTGTAAATAAGTCCATAAGTTTTTTTATTCATTCTTATTTTTTATATTCTGATCAGATGTGCCTGTTACATCAGGAATTTATACGACAAAATGGACATTATTGATGATTATTAAGGATTTTACAAGATTAATGAAAACTGACAGACTTTCAAACCAAATAAAGACTACTGAATTCCTGGTCTATAATGGCGATGAAGACAGATAAAAATTGTTGAGCAGTTTTAAATCCAATCAAGAAGTTTAAAAAAAAATTGGCCAAAGATTAGGGAAAAATAAAATTCTCTAAATCATATGTTAACATCAAAATATTAAGATATTCTGATTACTTAAGCAGTAATAAATTTTGAAAAACTCATTTCAGTTGGTTGTAACAGCTGATTTGAAAATATTACTCAGCTGGTTATGATGTGATACAAGCAAATTGCAGTAACATTTACAGCAAAGAGAAAAACAGGGAAGAACATAAACCAGACAGATAGCATCTGACCCTGTAAATATATCTTAATATTTTGATAGCTCATTACTCATCCTTTCTTCGTCTTCACCCAAACTTCCTTTTTTTGGAAACATTTTATTGGCTAACTTTTTTTGATATAAATAAAAAAGGAAAAGGAACAAATATGCCCTTATCGTTTGAAAAGTTAAAAGATGATAGTGGTGGAAAAGCAATTTTAAAAATTCGTCTTCAATTTTGCTTTGTAACAGTGCGGAAACGATAGTAATTGGATACTGCCTTACATAAAAATTCCAAAAATTTTGTTTAAAACTTTGACACAAAAATTTCGAAATATTATTACGTCATACAAAGTGATCTTTTTTTTAACGATAAAAATTGAGGAAATGTTACTAGCAATGAATTGCCCTTGGAAGGAAAACATAGTTTCGTGATGGGAAGGAATGAAAGCGATTTGATGGATGTCAAATATTGCAATACAATGCGATAATGAAATAAATATATAACTTTTAAGGAACCTGGCGAAGCGTTTTTAAACATTTCAAAATACTTCAATAAATTGATAACGGACTTTCTCAATTCATCTCTTTCTCTCGTGTGACGAGTCTAAATGTCAGCTGTGTTAGATCATTAAGTACTCAGAAATGATAAAGATAAAATTACATTGGATTAGACAATAATGAAAAATTATCAAAAATGGCTACTAAAATATTTATGGAAATTAAAAGAAGAATTTAATAAGAATAACGAATGAATTACTTCATGGACTCAATGAAGAACTTAATAACTAACAAATAATTATATCTGCAAGTTTTTGATGGATGCGCACTTAGCATTGCCACTGCTAAATTTCTATGTGCCATTAATTATTCAGGGCCAATTAATGAGCAATGTTGAAGCATTTCAAAATTAACAAAAGTTAGCTTGCACTACAAATTAATAAAATTTGGTTTTTTGATAAAGTTAAAATTTGCTCATAGCAGATGAAACTAGCTTTAAAGTTCAAAAAAAATTAATCAGAAAAACCAGTTTCAAAAAATTTCTAATCATTCTATTTCGATGACAACATAAAAAAGTTTTATAACTTTTGAAAAGACTAACAGACGATGTAAATTGACATTGTTGATGAAGATTTCGTCTGGTAATGTCCGCAAACGATTTCTGTTTAATCGCCTGTAAAATTGCTGTCCATAAGATACGAAACTAGTTTTATTACTATAGTAAGTTCACGACTTAAATACTCAATTCCAGACTGGCGGCAATTATTTATTTTAATTAATTTTCGAAACTTCAGCCTGTTGCCACAGGAATGAATTTGCAAGTGTCAGCATTGATAATTTTTTCAAAAGTGATGAACAAAAACTCACAGTCTCTCCAGTGCTATTAAATTATCGAAGGCGTTACTTTCGATCATGTGAATTTGATTATCCATCAACTGTCTGTAAATCTAATGCTTACTAAATATGCAAATTCATTAGCAATCAGTCGAACAGAGCAGTGCCAATTTACATTACAATATCTTTAACATTCATCGGAAAGGAAATGCCCCTCCTGTTGTACAGTTTGAAACCAATAATTAAGAACCACAAAATGTGGTGATTTGAAATTTGGTACATTAAAAACTTCGTGTCAGTGAAAAAAAAAAGTAAATTAAAGAGACAGGAAGAAATTAAAGACTATCATACATATGACTGGAAGATAATATTAAATGCAACCTACAAGATTTTGAGATGACGCAGAGCTTTAAGGTCATTCTTTCGTATCTCTGATATTTTATTCTCTTGAAGGTCTCTGCAACTATTTTTGTAATCAGTGAATTTAAATTATACATCAAGAGTCCTGTTACATTTGCAGGACAAGTTATAATAGTCCATTGAAAATAAGTAAATAAAATAAACATACAGTCGTACAGTTTCGGGTGGTATCTTGGATGGTATCCTGAGAAGACCTTGTCCTGTACAAATGACTGTATCCCGAGAACATGAGCACAAATGTGGACATGAATTAGAGGCAGTCTTAATTGTAAGGGTCAGATGTAAGATTGCCACACCACGAAGCAGCAGCATATTCGGGTCGCTCAATCGACGCAACCCATCCTCCCAGTTTCTGCAACGGCCAACTGAAATGAGTGCCCCGCCTCTCCCACGTTCTTCGCCTCGACCTTTTCAACGACGATCATCCACCTGCCCATTCACTCATCCAACCATGCATTCAGCAATTATCGCCGCCAACCCATCGTCAACATTTTCCGGGATTTCTGGAATAGCCCTTATAATCATTCATCGTTTGTTCTCAATCTATAAGCGCTTAAAATATATGTGTGAATTATAAATGGAATAGTAATATGCAGATTTAATCCAAGTAACACAATACTATGATCTGAAAAGATCAGAATCCCGATTTCTATCCTCTCATTAGCCCAATAAGTCAAACATTCATTGTTTGAAAGCTCTTCAAACAGGAAACAGTATGTATATCGTGTTCATTTAGATTCTTACAATCCTTCTAGAAAGATTGAGGAAAAGAAGTCGACAGAAAAAAGAATTCACTTCTTAATCTTTCATTAGCATTTATTCAAAACAGACATAAACAAGTACTCTGAAATTTCTTAAAAATTTTTCAAATCACTGGTAATGCAGAAGCAGCACTTGCAAACATAAAAAATGCTGTATATATTTCATTAAAAAAATCACAGATTTTACAAGAGAACATTCGGAGTCCCCATTAAGCATTCTAATAACGAAAAAAAAGAGAACAATTCGGCAAAGAAATTTACGTATTCACCAGAACACGCAATTTTAATGCCAGGAAAGAACATTAATTTACTTCTGCTGAATTTATCAAAAGATCTGCAGCACGATCTTTATCTGTTCAGAATGATCTTTTGCATTTCATTATTTGTCATAGTAATTTCAATACTTTATAAATATATCAACATAACGTGAGCGGCAAACATACTAAAATTCAAGAGTATTTCTACAAAAATTTTCCTTTCATATTGAATTATTTTACTCAATAATTTCTCCATAAAATTTTACGCGCAATAGTTTATATCTTTGGATTCTTTGCTTCAGTTCCAACATATTCGAAACATTTAAAGTATATCTTTTCAAGGATTTCTAAACATCTCCTTGCCTTGTTTCAGAAAATAATTGAATTTGAATACCAAAATTGATTTGTTGAAACAAATATTAAAATGTCCCATGGTTTTAAATTTTATTAGGTTTGAATCTGAAAATCCGTGCAATATGGCATATTCTAATCCCAAACAATTTTTGCGGGATACATTTTTCGTTTGAGAATTTATTAGGTAACAAAATTTTGAAAATGATATTTCGATTCAAAATTTCAGGAGATAATAAGGTTGATGAACTTTTGGATATTGCCAACAGCAATTACTGCTCTTCTCTTTGCAACAGTTCAATTAATAACCACATCTGCTCATTGTGTACCGTATATCATACATGACATGATGATTCACGACCAATTACATTCCCATAAAAATAGTAAATAGACAAATGAATCAATATGTAGATGAGTAAATAAATAAACAAATATAGATTACACCATATATAAAATTAAAATTAAATCTTTTCCATCAAAATAGCAATGACTGAATATTGTTTGAGAGACTTAATCATGCTACTGATCATTGCAGAAAGGTAGGGAAAAAATGACGCTGTGAATTCTAAAACGGAGATTGGTGGCCGGTTTTCAAGTAAAATAAGTTAAATTCATGCATTGAAAAAGTTTTGAAGATTCAGTTTTTGTTACTGTAAAAAAGTAAAAAATGTGAAAATGATAAACCTTTTGAATTACTTATTGGGAAAATTCCTAACAACCATAATCATTTGACTGATTAATATTTTGTTTGAAATAATCATTTGACTGATTATTTCAAACAAAATTGCTTAATCCTATACACTTTTCTATGGTTTTTATTCCACAAAAATATTGACATTTTAAATTTTCAATTTCCGAAAGCTCGCTTTTCTCGATCATTCATTTTTTAAGAATTAGATATTTCTAGAAATATTTCAAATTGAATGAGTAACAGCTGCAGCGAAAAATGTGCATGTTATCTTTCGAAAAATTTCCTCTGAAGAAATTGAAGATTTCAGCTTTGCAAATTATTGATTATAACAAGAGGTAGATTATGGCTTCTCTTTTCTTGGCTTTTTGCTTTAACGCCCCTTAAAGGGCCAGAAAAAGAGTTGAGCCTGAAGCAGTAAGCAACGAAAATTGAAGAAAGAAGAGTCACTTCGACATCCGCAGTAATGACGATAACAGCAACGACAATAACAACTCTAACGAAAAAGGTTTTCTAATCATACTCCAAAAAATGATCTTAAACTGGTTTACTCCTATTTGCTGTCCGCAAAAAGTATTAATACTTCAATTATGTGCAGCTGCGGTAGTAACCTTTCGTCCTGAACATTGCTCTAACGATACCGATGTTATGGATCATCTTTTAACTGAAGCTTCGCACCGCCATAATCGTCTTAAATTGCCATCTAGACCAGTTATTGTACGAATCGAAATGTGGATTCAAGAAGTAACTTATGTTTCTGAGCTAACTCAAGATTTTGAAATTGGTTAGTTTAGATTAAAATATTCAGAATAATCCGTTAACTAAAATCATACTGCATTTGAGTGCTTATCTAATCATGATCATCAGTCACTTAAAGACCAATTTGACGATAAGCTTCAGGACAATTCTTCAGAAGACAAAAAAAATTGTCATCAATGTTTCACATAACATACCGTAGAAAGACACTTTATATTCACGTAACAGAATGATTTCAGTCTATGTTTTTTAACTTGTTTGATTGAAATTTGGAATTCAAGAGTAATGGTTGATTCAACTTTATGATTACTGTGCTAACACTCATTTATTCATATGACTTTTGTGGATATCTTTTATGAATCTGAAACTTATTGTCAAGCTAATCAAAGTGCTAAACATTTTCCAATATTTGAAGTTTCAAGGCTTAGTTTGCTTTTATTGACTTTCACATTTGCTAAACTTCTTTATTGAATATTTTTTGCATTAAAATGAAATTTTTCTTAAAACATAGCAAATTATTAAGAGAAATATGCTTCAAATTCAGAAATATATTTACTTTAGTCATGCAAGAGAGGAGAGCAATGATTATTTCACTTCAAATTTAATTGTCCATATTTCACAAAGGCATACATGTATCTCTTCTCTAAATTCATCTGTTATTATTTAAAGCTTTCCCAGAAAGGAATCGCTTACATCTCTATCAAAAATTTTTCGAAAAATATTTAGTCTTTAAAAAAAAAAAAAAACATAGCGGAATGGATTTTACTTGTACTTAAACATTTCCAATATTATCAATTAAAAAAATCGAATTTTTCTTGAACTGAATTTTTCGAAAAATTTTTGGACGACATTAGGAAGTTTGATATAGCCGTGCAAGATATTCACAAATGGTTAGGCATGTGATTCCATCTGAATCTATATCAAACACAATGTATAAAAAAAATTCGAGCCATTGGGAAAAAATTGAAAGAGGACAGAAAGAAAAAAGCACACCACAATCAATTTAAATTTTCTTCTCAGTTCTAATTTTAAAAAAAGTTACTCGTAGTCTAATTCACAAATCTAAAATCACTTTTTTCTTTTTCTAACTACCGCTAGAATTAAATTATATTAACAAATCGAATGACTATATATTCTGAAATAATTCATTCAAAATTCATTCATATTCTATCTCAAATTTATTAAACCATATTTAAATATTTAATGTTTGCTTTGCAGATTTGTATGTGAATGAATTTTGGGAAGATCCTGCACTTAACTACGAAGTGCTCCTCCCATGTAACGGCAATTTAAGCTTTGACCACAGCATTCAGGAAAGTATTTGGATTCCTAACACCTGCTTTATCAACTCGAAAAAAGCACTTATCCATAGCTCGCCATTCCGGAATGTTTTTCTTATGGTCTTTCCTAATGGTTTGTAAAGTTGTTTATAAGCTTCTGCATTTAAAGAAATGCAAAATAATGATAAAAATAAAGGGAAATGTCTAATTCGCTCTTTTTTAGCACGAAGAGAGATTAAAAATGTTTTTTATGATAAACGTTATTTTTTATGATAAATACTTCATCCAAATTTTGTACGCTCTTTTTTCCTTTTTTCCTAAAATTTGATATTTCAGGCTCGATATGGTCATGTTGGCGCATTAAGAGCACGGGACCATGTCATATGGATCTGAGTAACTTTCCAATGGATTCTATATCGTGTATGCTAACCTTTGAATCCTATAATTACAACATTCAGGAAGTACGAATGAAATGGAATGAACCTGATGTATTAATGTTTAAGGATATTGAATTACCAGATTTCACCTTGGTTAACTATACAACCTCCATCACTGAAGCTGTAATTTTTTTTAATTTTAGAAATTGAAAATTTTTTACATCAGTTTCAAATTGGAATTTGTCGCAAAGTTGACAGAGTAAATTAACATTTATAGGAATATGCAGCAGGCTTATGGGACGAACTTACTGTTTCATTCACATTCAAAAGAAGATATGGATGGTACATCTTGCAAGGTAAAATTTGTCTAAACTTTTCAATCTCTTATAAAAGAATTGTTATTCAAATGCATGATAATTTGATAATGTTCAGGATATATTCCAACATATTTAACAATATTTATCTCATGGATACCATTTTATATGAGTCCACGAGCAATGCCAGCTCGAACTATGATTGGTGTTAATTCTCTTCTTGCAATGACATTTCAATTTGGAAATATTATACGAAATTTACCACGAGTATCATATATTAAGGTGAATTCCCTGAATATTTTCATGATTTACATTTAAATTTCAAATGTTGATATAAGCAAGTTTTCCTGAAAAAAAAATTTGGTTTTTTTTGTTTATATCTCTAAAAACCGCAAGGGGATTTTTTTTTACTGGATTTTCTTTTGAAAATTTCTAACTGTAAACTTAAAAACCTTTGAAATTCCTTTAAACACCTTTGCTAGTATATGAATTGAATAATAGCTTTTATTGCAGGCAATTGATGTATGGGTTCTAAGGTAAGTTTTTAAATTATGCGTACCTATTAGTTGCTACAAAATATTTTTAAAAATTAAATTTTCAGAAAGTTGATATCTTCTTTTATCAACAGTAATCTAGAGGAGATAGTTTTATTTTTATATTTTACTACAATTTCTTTGGAATTGTGCAATAATTGATTTGTCGATTCTATTTCTCAACTTATGACAAATAACTGCATTTATTATTTTTTAAAAATAATATCACCATGTTATCATAGAAATTGATCAGATTCATTCTTAAAGTAATGAACCGGCATTCATCATCCTGGCTTGCCTGAATAGATAACTATGTATTTTTGGGCAATTCATCATACTTCAATTAAATTTAAAAAACTCACTCTACTTATCTCATTACTCAGATAAAGATCTCTCATAGAAATATGATAAGAATACTTAACAGTGGGAAAAAGCATATGGGCACAAGTCAAATAAACTCCATTCTTCTTTTGATCTTTTCACTTTTCTAACGGTATGAAATGATGTGTCTAAAATATGACAAAATATGACTCTCTAAAATATGAGAAGAATGCTGTCTAGAATATGATCATTAATAAAAAATTTTCGAAAGCATAAACTGACGATTAAGCTAAGACAGATTAAACCGTTAAAAATTATTACAAAGTTTGACAGCTATTTGTAATGAATTTCATATAAGTCTGACGTGCTCCTAGCAAAAATTTGCTTTTTCAAATTTCCCTCGATTTTCCCATTTTTTTAAAGAAAAGAAAGTAAATTATTTTAAAAAGAAGGAATATGAAATGTTTTTACAGTGGAATGACATTCATATTTGCGTCGTTGATCGAGCTTGCAATGGTTGGTTTTATGAATCGGCATGAGGGTCGAGCAGATACCAAACCGAATGATATGCAGAAAAAAGTTACTTTCCTATTTTTTACATTAGCAAAATCCAGAGCAATAAATTGAAGAGAAATTTTTTAAGGAATTTTTATGATGCTAATAGCAAATCATTGTGCTGCATGCATCCAATGATCAGAGACTGCATGTGATTTCAATTCTCTAAATGAGCATAAATAAAAGCATATAACACATGCATCACGCTGCGTACTTTGACCGATATCACTATTGATCAAGTTGGCATTTCGAATGACTTTCTTTAAAGTTATGTTTAAAGAAGATTTAAACCAGTACCCTCACCAATGAATGCCTTTTAGACGATTATTTTCAGAGAAAAACGTCCATTCTGGACAGTGAAAAATTGGATTTATATTCAAGGACAAGTTTTCCTTGTAAGTTATTATGTTACAGAACCATTATGCTAATTTTATCATAATCTTCAACTCTTTGGACCTTCTTGTTGGCTAACTGCAAAAAAACTTGCTCAAATCAATCTTTTTACCAGAAAGAGAAACTTCCGCATTCTCGTTTTGAAATCGAGTTTGCCCTCATATCAGATATGGATATAAAATAATTCGTATCAAGAGATCAGCGTAATTCTTACATCAAATAGATTTCTCGAATTTTAAAATGTTATAGAATTAAAAAAAAAATTGTTACATGATAGAAGTTGATTCAATGATTTGTAATGATTTAATAAAATTTTCAGTGGTATATGCAACGTTCAACATGATATATTGGGGCTATTACATGAATGGACTAATTCTACAATAAACATATCTCATGTGATTTTTCAATAAAACGCCTTTGCAAGTTCCAAGAACATCTTTTCTGATTGTGCCTACTTTTCTACCTTTTTACTAAATGTTTAAACATTATTATTACCTGGTTTTCATACCTTATTCTAACAAAACAGTTACTTTTTTTTCTTACCTATTGTAACAAAAACACCAATGATTGTCGGAAACCGAAATGTGATCCAAATATATCTCAGATTTTGTAACTTCACATTGACCTTTTGATTATAGTAAATCAAGCGCCAGAAATCTTATGAACTCATAAACTCATCATGTCGGTCCTATCCTTTGATCTAGTTTATTAGTTATCTGTTCGTAGGTCAGGTCACACAATCTCATAAACCCATTGCTTGTCTTTGGGCCAACCCCCAAACCCAATATAAAAGATCTAGTCAAGTTTTAGTTTTAGTTTTTTGAAGTTCTGATTTTGTGTTCACCAAGTCTTGTTTTACTCTGCAACATGGGGTGTCACTCGCAATAAAGTACAATTCAACGCGTGTCTTCATTCGTTCTTCTGCTTCAACCAACCACATTGGAATAGGACTCAA